ACATTGTTTCACAGACGATGAGTAAACACAACAGCCTGGCATCAATATTACATGAAATGCGCCTTGGTCATCGGCGGCAAAGTCTATGTTGCCTGGAAACGCAAAATGCTCCATGACGTCATTGGGGGCTACCAAGCATATATTCAGAGAAAGGTCAGCACTCGTTAACATCCGTCGAAAGGCCCTCTTATCTTCGGTCGGATTTCGTAACGTATGACGTCATGCTCGCCTTGTGGTTCCCCCATGTTTGTTTCGAGGTCTTTGTCTTGCTTTTTCGATCATCCACTGCATCCGTTTGGAAAGGATGTTTCATTGTTTCGCCTCGATCAAGCCTCTTGGCGCATCAAGAAGGTCCTTTCAGCGGATGTTACTGAGTAACATCCCTTGAATGGCCCTGGATCGAATGGCCTTCATGAAGAGATAACACGAACAAGCAAATAAAACTCAAATGAACCGCTGCCCCATTTAACAACTTTTTCAAATATTGGCGGGAATATAAAAAATAGAGAATCATCCATGTGTGTAATGTCTGTCTCTGTCGAATAATAATGAATGCTTCCAGCAACAACAACAACAACAACAACAACTTTATTTGTACCCAGCTGTACCCTACATTGATTTACATGATACAAAAAAGTTAGATTAATATAGAGAGAGAGTACAGGCTGCCCATAAAAAACCACTGAGGGCTAAAAAGATAGGGCAGCCTCACTTAGGTTATTTATAAATGATTATATTATAGGGTAAGGTACCGCACACCGCACAGCTACAGAAAACATCCACAAAAAAAAGTAGAACAAGAAAGACAGCAAAAGAAAGCTAGGTGTGCCAGTATTAAACAACGGGAAGCCAAAGCTTGCACTAAGTTGCCTGATAACTTATATTCTGTTTCATCCGCTGAAGAAGCCCACAAGCTAATCGAAGATTTTGAGACTCAAAATACCGTAAAATGTTCCTGCTACAAGGACTACAAGGCAAGCAAAGGCTTTGGAGGCACAGGTGATAAGATAAGAGGGGGGGGCTGGTCTAAAAATAAGGGGGTTGGTGCCCCCTGGACCCCTACCCTAGATCTGCCACTGTTCTATACAAAGTGGGCCGTAAACCATAGCCCTACTCCAGTTTCCCAAAAAGTCATTTGCTTAGTTTGTCGGCACAAGCAAACCTCTTTGAGATCTTAACAGTGTCCATAGAATCCCCAATCGACAGCTGGCCGGGTACGCATAAGTAGGAAGTTCTTCAAACAAAGGCTAAGAGAATACTGCTTCATGGTGCTTCTTGAGTTGTTGGAGGGTAGAAAAAGTATGCCCTGGATCATTGTTACAACTGGTGTTCATTTAAATCTTAACTTTTTCACTTGACCAATTTTGGGTTGAGAAACATGGCTGCAGAAGGGGGACGGGGGCATACCCCCCCCCCCCCCTGCTATTTACATTAAAGGAAATTCCCTCTCAAGCAAACAGCTATGACTGCAGCTGAGTTTGTCTGCATGGTAAGCATATTTTGCACGGTTTTGCCAAAATTTGTAATAGCAATGACTATAATATTGTAATTGATACAATAATAATGTAAGAGTAATGATTATAATAATTATCATTTACATTGTTAGACAAAGTAATATCTTTAAACTTTCAGTATTCTGAACATCACTCATGTTCTTAAACTACTGTTGTAAGTGGTAGCATTAACATGTATGACATTCAGTTAACACAGAACTTGAGCAGGGGAAAAAAATCCCACTTTCCTTCAGGTAGTGTACATAACCTCTGTTTACAGGCACCACTTATAAGCTTACAAGCACCTCTTACTAACAGACACTAATCTGGGTTCACAGCAAAATCTGCATTTCCAAACTATTGTACATGTACGTAAAGACATCTATTCTTGGTAACAAACATCCATATAGAGGTCAAATCAGACCTAAACTTCTTTCCAGAATAGTTGCCTACATGATAGATCATAGCTAGCAAATACTCCTCTATCTCTCTATGGGGCACTTCGGTTGAACAGATGCCTTTCACAAGCAGCATAATTCCAGAGTAATTTGGTCAACACTTTGATACTGAATAAGAAAACAAATTAACATATAGAGGTAGGAAGGAGGATTAACAGTGCACCAAAACGCAATACATCAGTCAAATCACAAAGTCAATTACTCAGAAAAAAACTGAAGGGAAGTTTAATGATGATCAAACCAGGAAAAACAATCTTACTGTTGAATAATACTTTTTCATGGTTGTTTTTGCTTCATGAAATTAAATAGCATTAATTTGCTCTACTTGATCGAATGACAGAGCATTTTCTTTTTTTCTAGAAAGACATGCCTTTACTGAGAAAGAAAATGAATAAACAATTACAGCAGAAGAGGTTATATGGTGCACTTATAAACTAATATTCATGCAAAACCTCAAAGAAATCAGGGAGTGGCAATTATTTACAGAGAGTGAAGGGCTAATGCAGATGAGAAGATACCATTTCCAAATTCTTTGGACCCTACCCTTTCAGTTTTTACGGGACATTTTTGACAAAACAACAAGAAGCCCAGTCTAAACTCTGAGGGGTTACTTAAGTTGAATTAAAAATGTTGATTCCACCATTCATTCATTTTCATGTACTGGTAAAGAAAAGTATTAAAAAAGTCTTGAACAAATCCATTGACCTGATAGGCAGCCTTTCCCAAGAAATAAGTTATAGATATCATGTAGATGAAGACTTCATTAATAAGTATCAATGGCTTCAAACCAAAATGCTCAGTTTAAGCACATTTTCATTTGAAACCTTAATAATTACAAAGGATAAAATAAGTAAGCCTAAATAAATAAATAAATAAATCTGACTGAATTTATGTACACATGGCTTCAGTGAGGTTTTACAGGTCCTACGCTAAGTGTGTCCTTGGTACCAAGACTTTGATCCTTCCCACCCAGGACAATGGGTGACTGTCTGTGCCTCCCACTGAGCACTGCAATTATCAACACCAACAACAACAAAACTTTATTAATAAACAAATAAAATTACAGAGGTATATTTACCCACAGCTAGAAAGGATATTCGAGGCGGGACAATGCGTGTAAAATATAACATTACCACTCAGCAGAGGCCTGATTCAGCTCAGTGGCTAGGGCAAATTAAGAAAAAGGTACTTGCCAGTCAAAGACTCTAGTGAACAATGGTGCTTACTGAAGGGGTTGTGTCAAAATAGCCCCCTCCCTACCCCACTAATTTTGGCCCCCAGGCCTGATCCACCCACCTACTGTTAGGGCAGTCCCTGGGCTATCCAGCTAAACCGACCAAGACAACAAGCCCCCTAATTTTTGGGCACTTTTTTGGACACCGGACTGGTCTGGTGCCGGCGCCAGGCAAAAGCCTAGTGACCACGTTTTAACGAAATCAGACAGAAATATTATTAAATAATATTATTATATGGCCTCATATTTTGCGCGTTCTCTTGACCTCATGTGGTAAAATGACATAATAGTGGAATAATAAATAACAATATTGATCCTTCTCCTCAAGTGTGTAATATAAGTATGGCGATTTTATACTGTATATGTATTCAACAAGGAAGTGATAATGTATAATTGTCACCTAGATACACAGCCTGGTGATCTGGGGCCATTCAAAGGATGTTATTTAGTAACATCCACTGAAAGGTCCTTTTCCCCGCGGAGTAAGAAGAGGCTTGAAACATCAAAACATCCTTTAAACGAAGGCAGTGGCATCTTCTTGTTTGAATACATTGGAATCGATCGAGGAATGATCAAAAAAGTGGGACAAAACCTCTCACCAAAAATCAAAAAAGTCGGATATAGACGATCCAAGTGCAGATGAATCACATATTTTAATGTATTAAAAACTTCAAGGCGAGCGTGACGTCACAAGTTTACGAAATCCGACCGAAGATAAGAGGGCCTTTCGACGGATGTTAACGAGTGCTGACTTTAGAGAAAGATTTATTTATTGCGCCTCGAATTTGGCAGCTGGCTAAGACCACGCGCGGCTAGCAGACTGATTATAAAGTCGCTACGCTCGGAAAGACTGGGACTAGTGCATGAAGTTGCTGTGGTGTAGATGTCTTTAAAAGAAACTGGCGCTGATAAGCAGGGCAAGCAGCTAACAGCTGAAGAAAACCACGATTGTTGTTCACTACACGAGACATTGCTACAAAATGAACTAAGAATGGCAGTTGGTTGTCTTTTATATAATCTGGTGGAGGGAAAACAATACATATGTGGTGGTGGTGGTGGAGGAAAGAAAAAAATAGAAATGTGGTGGTGGTGGTAGTGGTAGTCTTGGGGGAGGAAAACAATAGAATCTTGTGGCCTGAAAACCTATATAAATGCGCAACATTCTACCTCTTTCTCAGTGTTCATTTTGCTTCTGAGGAGTTGACATGAGTTGGTTCTGTTCTGTCTGCGAAAAATCCTTTAGTAGAAAAGATAGTATGCAAAGGCACGTGATGTCTGAACACCGCAATGCTGGTCTCACTCCATTTCAAACAGTTCCAATATTTTCACAGAAATATCAGCGGTTTCGCTTCGAGCACCCTTTCACCTCCATGATTGTCGGAATGACCGGGTCCGGAAAAACGGCCTGGGTTCGATCGCTATTGCTACAAGCTTCAGAGACCATTTACCCTCCCCCGGAGAGTATCGTTTGGTGTTATTCACAATGGCAGCCTGCGTATTTACAAATGTTAGTCACCATGCCAAACATTGAATTCGTCAAGGGAATTCTTACGGCTTTGGAGCAGGATTCCTATTTTGATGTGAACAAACGGAGTTCGATCGTGTTTGATGATCAGATGATTGACGCCAGTAAAGACAAGCGAATTGTGAACCTCTTTACTCGTGGTTCTCATCATCGCAATCTGAGCGTGATTCATATCGTGCAGAATCTATTTCATCAGGGGAAAGGTAGCCGTAGCGTAAGCTTAAACAGCCATTATCTGGTGTTATTCAAGAATCCAGGAGACAAATTGCAAATCTTGACCCTGGCGAAGCAAATGTATCCCGGGCAGACGGATTTCTTTTTAAATCAGTACGAAGGGGCTGTAAAAAGACCTTTTGGTTATCTTCTGATTGATCTGAAAACTACTACCCAAGATAATTGTCGGT